GTATAGCGACAATTTTGGCTGCACGGATTATCGTCACTATGCGGGGCACCACTGTATCTTTAATGGGCAGAATAAATGCAATAAAAATGAATATACTACCAAAACAAGTTTTCCTTTTTCAAACAATTCCAATAGTATTAAAAGAAGACTTTTTAAAAGAACTGAATAAGATAATGACCAAGTTTGTTTGGAACGGGGGAAAGAAGACTTTTTAAAAGAACTGAATAAGGTAATGACCAAGTTTGTTTGGGACGGGGGAACACCAAGAATAAAACTTAAGGCTCTTCAGGACAATAAACAAAGAGGAGGGTTTGGTCTACCAGATTGGGTAAATTATTACAGAGCAGCAGCTTTGTCCTGGGTGAGAGAATGGATTACTCTACAAAATCAGGGACTCTTAAAAATTGTGAGGTATGATTTAAGACTGAACCAGCATGCATACCTATGGCACCAAAATGATAGCAATGCAAAACATTTAATATACATCCAATCAGGAGAGCTTTATTATGGGTCTGGAAGACAGTTAAGGTACAACATTACAGAAAGATACCATTATAGGTAGCTCCATTAGAAGCGTTCTCTGGTCCGGCAAGAACACCTCAAGGGATAAAAGGGAGATATGCCGAGACACTTGTTTCTTTTTTCTTTTTAGTTTTCTTTTTCCTCCATCTTGAACTTTTAATTTGTTGATTTAATCATGTGATTGTTTTATGACATGTTTTGATAATTATGACGATTCTATATGATTATACTTTATGATGTTTTATAACTGTTTGTAAGCCGCCCCGAGTAGACTCTGTCTAGAGGGCTGGGGTAGAAGTCAAATAATAAATAAATATTAGATAGAGATTTTAATCTAAAAAACAAAGATGAACTGGCAAAACAAAGTATTATCTTAGACTGGTAGTCAATAAATTTATTGAAATCAAGATATGTAAAAGATAAAACTATAGGGTTCCAGAAGGACAAAATACCTTTGGATAAGGGGTTGCTGGATTCAGAGGAAAAATCGATTAAAGGTTTATATAATACTTTAACAAACAAAAAATGGATGATGAAATTGTGAAGGACTGCATGGTAAAGTGGGCTCAAAATATAGGACAATACAGAATTAAGTGCCTGGTCACAAATTTGGGAACGAAATATTAAAATGACTAAATCTATAAACCTAAGAGAAAATATATACAAAATGTTTTATAGA